CAACAAGGTTCTGAAACTGTCTGGAGAAGCAGGAGGACATCCAGAAGAAAATGGAGTAATCCTTCCCCCTAGACAGACAGACAGACAGACACAGAAAGAGAGAGGCTCAAAAAAGAACTAATAGGTAACAACAGTCACCCATCAGTATCACAAACGAGATGGTGACTGAATATTTAAACTATTCTTAATCAAAAGTAAGACATTAGTGACCCAGAAGACAATGATTTTATTTGCTCTTATCTCTTCCCTTTCTCCACATGCACACATTTACTAGAAGACAATTCTTTAAGGATAGAAATTCTGTGTTACCCACCTCTGTGTATCCAGTACAGGAAACAATGTCCAACATGGGTGATGCTCAATAAACATTGTTATTAGATTCATGGAAAAAAATAAGAACAGAACTCTAGAGAATAATTTCCTAGAAATCTTGATTTCCAATGCAGAGGAAGCCTGAAGGCATGGTTGTCTCAATTAATTTTAAAACAAAATTAATTTTGAAAAAGTACAGGGATAAACAGAAAATAGTACACTCTTAAGTACAGGAGTTTCCATTCAGCCTAGATTTGACAAGTGGGGAATGAAATTAAATGAGATAAAGCATTCTTAACCCTCAGCCAAAATACGCTAAAATCCATCTCTGAAGCAAGATCTTAATCCCAGTCAAATTTCTCCTCAAATGCATTAAGGTTATATAAGCCTCTGGGCTCCATTCAATTGAGCAAGAACTCTTTCTGTCTCTTTCGAGTTTTTTTCTCAATTATCATCATCGAGTTATTAAGGCAACAGATCATACTTAAGTATGTTCTTGACAAGTTCTCACCAATTTAAAATATAAAGCTGCTGTGTGCTCAGTTGCTCTATCATGTCCCACTCTTTGCGACCGCATGGACTGCAGCCGACCAGGCTCCTCTTTCCATGGGACTCTCCAGGCAAGAATACTGGAGTGGGTTGCCATGCCTCGTCCACAGGACCTTCCCAACCCAGGGATCAAACCCAAGTCTCCTGCATTGGAGGCAGATTCTCTACCAATTGAGCCACCAGGGAATATAAAGCTGAGAAATTATTATTTAAGGAGAACAACCACATAAACTCTACTAAGGAAGAAAAAGATATTCCATTGCAGAAGACCACCCAGAAACTGTGTGTCCTGGTAATATCAGAGCTTTGCTTCCTCTTCTTTGTTTTTCTTTTTTCATTTGACTTCTTATTCTCCCATGAAATTTATGTGAAAGCCCAGCAATATGAATATGAATATGGCAGGTCAGGGGACTATCAACCACTATTATCAATATTGCTTTATTGTTTCTTAGAAGAAAAGAGGACTCTTCAAACTTTGATTTTCCTTTCAGTCTATTCATAGTACTCATGCTCTTACACCCTGCTTTATCACTGATGTGGTCCTCGTTCTTAAATAATTTGCCTTGCTTCATTGGGTCGGTGGTAGACCCTTAATTTTCTTATCCTACACCCTTTGCACCACGTGACAGGTTTTCCCGTAGAGATAGATAGATGGATAGACAGATAGATAGATAGATAACATAGTACCATGAACTGAGAATTATTTTCCTACCCTCCCTTGCACTAGAGGTAGTTCCATGAAGCATATTTCCCCCAATGAGTCACAAGCATAAGTCACAGAGGTGCTCTGGGTGAACCGTCTCTTTTCCAGGGAGAGTGAATCACTCTCCTGGTGTCATTCCTTCCTCTCTCGTTCCTGCCTTGCTCTGCCTGAGATGTAACATGAGATCTTTGTTCAGTCAAAAGAATCTCATGGTTGCTGACATTATTGAACTGTAGCAAAAAATAAAAATAAAAAATCAGAGAAATTTGTTTTTATCCAGTTTCTCATTAAAAATGTAAGCCGTTATCTACTAACCCACTGTTGTTTCTTGGTCACTTGCTAATAAAAATCACTCTTGAAAGAACATATCCTTCAGTTTGGGTTTACAGCCCCTCCTTTCTGCACAGACTGAAACTCCTCACACATTTCAAGATCCAGCTAAATAACACTTCTTTCATCAAATGTTTATCTCTGCCTTAAATTGACACTAATCTTTCCCTAATGTTTGTCATGCTGCTGTTTGGTCACTCAGTCGTGTCCAGTTCTTTGTGAACCCGTGGACTGAAGACCATCAGGCTCCTCCATCCTTGGGATTTCCTAGGCAAGAATACTTGAGTGGGTTGCCATTTCCTACACAGGGATTGTCTCCTGGTTGGCAGGAAGATTCTTTACCACTGAGCCACCTAGGAAGCCCAATCTTTGTCATACCTCTCTATAATTTCAGTTTTGAATGTCTGTTTACATGTCTATACAATTATTTGCATGACTGTCTCTTGAACATGGAAGAATGCCATCAATTTTGGCATCTTTAATAGCAGGGGTCAGCAAACATTCTGTGCAAAGGACCAGGGAAGAATATTTTAGGGCTGTAGACCATATGGTATCTGTTGCAACTACTCAGAATGCCATTGTAGCAAATTGAAAGCAATCATAGACAATATGTAAATAGATAGGAATGGCTAAGTCCCTATAAAACTTTATTTACAAAAACAGATGGCAGGCAGGATTTGGCCTGTGGACCATAATTTGCCAACCTCTGTAACAGAGAATCTATAATATCTCCTTCAATATTCTGAAAAAATTCATTGAATGAATATAAAAATGTATGAATGAACTACAACAGACAATTCCTTTTTGTTTTCCTTGAGTTTAAGCCACAAATTAATCCTGGAATAAGTAAGCATTAGACAACGAAAGGCAATATTGTGAATTACAGTATTACCCAAAATGTGGGCTAGAAATCATTTTTATCTACAAATGGATATTTGTAGTTCACAAGATAAATCTAGGTGGTAAGAAACTTTCCATGAGATAGCATAATTTACATAGTTTTAATTAAGGTCTCAGTTCAGTGCTAATCTTTTAAACACTATAATTTTCCCGTTCAAAAGAAAGAAATCCCGTGCAAATAGACAGACAAACAACAGTGGAGCAAGTCTTTAAGCAAAGCATATAACATTAATCCTGTTTTGCATTTATATTTAAAATTCTTATTTTATATATTAACCCACCCTATATATCTACAAATTTCTTTTAAAAACATTTATTTAGTGCAATAGAATTAACTTCAAGCCATGAAGAGATTATGGAAGAAATTTAAATGCATACTACTAAGTCAAAGTTACATATTGTATGTGTCCAACTGTAAGACATTCTGAAAACAGCAAAATTATGAAGAAAATAAAAAAGATCAGCGTTGCGGTGGATTGGCGCAGGAATGATATAAACAGTTAGAGCACAAAGGATTTCCAGGGCACTGTAACTGCTCTGTATGACATCATAGCAGTTGATAGATGTCATTAAGCATTTATCCAAAACCGTAAAGAGTGCATCAAGAGTGCATCTTCGGGTAAGAAAATGGCAACCTGCTCCAGTATTCTTGCCTAGGAAATCCCACGGTCAGAGGAGCCTGGTAGTCCATGGGGTGGCAAAATAATTGAATATGACTTAGTGAATAAACAAATTACTTTACCACAATTTTTAAAATCATACTTCACATTAAATTAACCATTTAATTTAAAAAAGAGTGTACTCTAACATAAACCATGGACTCTGGTGAGTATGATGAAGGTGCCACTTCAGTTGGGGATGTTGATATTGAGGAAGGTTATGCATATACGGGAGCAAGGGACATACAAAAAGTCTCAATAATTTAGGAATTTTTTCATGAATCAAAAACTCCCCTGAAATAGTCCTAATATATTTAGTAAGCACAGATGAGAATACCAGGGTTGAGTAAGTAGGTGAGGTTCTTCTCTGTAGGTACTTCAGATCTGCTGGGAGCTTGACAATTAAGTACAACAGAATAAAATTAGATGATGTTATGATCAAGGTGTTAATAGGAGCCCTAGGAACACTGTAGCCAGCCAAGCCAATTCAAAACAGAATTAATGGATTTACTTTTTTAATCATAATTAAGTAGCATGCAGGCAAAGTGAAAAATTCCAAAGGTGACATGTGAATGACTGAAGTTAGAGAAATATTACAGCTTAAGGGTGCTTGGATTACTCTCTGATCAAAACAAGTCTCTTCACATCACGGCCTTGCCATCGACAAGCTCTATGACTTGAGAAAACTCTTAAGATTACCACAGCTAAACTTCTTCTGAAGAAAAGCTTGTAGAGGGTCAACTTACATAATGCATGTAAATGTTCTTTATAAACCTCTATACAATTTCCAGTTATTAATGACAAATCTACTTCACTCTGTATCTGAGAAGCTTTCAGCAGGTTTTTTTAAATAATTAATATCTCTTTGCAGGCACTGCCTGAGACAAAAACAATCAAGTGTTTTATTAAACATGCAGATATCAATATTCTGTTTCAGAATCAATGTACAGACATACTTGACTACCTATTAGTTAAATGAAAAATGTAGGCATTAGTAACTCATTTTGGTTGTAAGATTAGTTATTTAACATATAACCACATTCTAATTTGTAACATGTTTATCAAAATTTAGTGTCTTGTCGAGAATTGCCTTCCTTTATGAAATTTATTGCTGTTTTACTCCAGCCTTATAATATTAGCAATAAATCCAAGAGTAATATTATGGCTTTTTTCAATTGATTAAACTGAAATCATGGGTACAAATTAAATGTTAGTGATTACATTTCATTGCTGATCTATAATATATAATTTACATAAGATACATTTTAAATGGTCATAGTGTCAGAATTTTCAGACAATTCATCCAATATACACCTCAGGATACAATTTCCTATTTATACTCAAGATAGTTTCTATCTGAAATATCCCCAAAAGTAAATTAAAAAAAACTTTACAAGCCAAATGATCATAAGAACAGTAATTAATTATATTAATAGTGTCTGGCACATGGTAGGAATTCAATAATTGGGAAAGGTCTTAGCTTATTTTCCTACTGCTGCTGTGAGAAATGACTAACTGAGTGTCTTGGAGCAACACGAGGCGATTACCTTAGCTTTCCAGGGGTCAGATGTCCAAAATGGGTCTCATTTGGCTAGAAACATGGGCTTCTCCGGTGGCTCAGAGGTAAAGAATCCACCTGCAATGCAAGAGACTAGAATTTAATCCCCGGGTAGGGAAGATCCCCTGGAGAAGGAAATAGTAAGCGACTCCAGTATTGTTGCCTGGAAAATCCATGGACAGAGGAGCCTGGCAAGCTACAGTCCATGGGGTCTAGAAGAGTTGGAAGTGACTGAGCGTGCACGCATGCAGAGGCTGTCTATGTTCTTTGGAAGGCTCACGGTTCCTTCCATCTTTAAAGCAGCAGCACACTTCACGTCTCAGACCTCTGTTTCCATCACCACATCTGCTCTCATTTCAACCCTCTTGCCTCCTTCTTATCAGGACCTTTGTGATAACCTCAGGCCCACTCTGACATCTGGAATAATGTTCCCAACTCAAGACCTTCAATGCTATCTCATCTTCAAAATCCTTTATGCCACATAAAGAATACATCTCCTCAACTGAGGACCCAGTGATTAGGACATTGACATCTCTGGTGAGCAAGGGGGGCATTATTCTACTTATCACAGGTCTGTGAGAACAATTTTTTAATTATCAAAGATCAATTTTTTAATTTCATTATTTCAATTCACCACTACTCTTTCTAGATTAGGACAATCATATAACTGTTAAATACTGTCAAAAAAGTATTTTTGTACCATAAAAATATTAGTGTCTAATGACAACAGCAGCTTTTAGAGAGCACTGCTTTGAGCGCTTTCCATGCATTATTTCACTTAATTCAAGAAACTGAAAAGATGCCGGATGGAATCATTGATACCTAGAAAATTACAGGATGCATAGATATGCCTTTATCTTATTCAAGAAGAAAACACATTCAAAGATAAAGTATCGCCATGTTCAAGTACACAGTCTGTGTGTGTGCTCAACTGTGTCTGACTCTTTACCACTCCATGGACTGTAGCCCACTAGGCTCTTCTGTCCAGTGTATTAAAAAGCAGAGACATCACTTTGTCGACAAAGGTCTGTATAGTCAAAGCAATGATTTTTCCAGTAGTCACATACAGATGTGAAGGTTGGACCATAAAGAAGGCTGAGCACCGAAGAACTGATGCTTTTAAACTGCGGTGGTAGAGAGGACTCCTGAGAGTCCCGTGGAGAGCAAGGAGGTCAAAACAGTCCATCCTAAAGAAAATTAACCCTGAATATTCACTGGGAGGACTGATGTTGAAGCTCCAATACTTTGGCCACCTGATGTGAAGACCCGACTCATTGGAAAATACACTGATGCTGGGAAAGACTGAGGGCCGGAGAAGGGGGCGACAGAGGGTGACTTGGTTGGATGGCATCAATTGACCCAGTGGACATGAGTATGAGTAAACTCTGGGGGATAGTGAAGGGCAGGGAAGCCTCGTGTGCTGCAGTCCATGGGGTCACAAAGAGTTAGACACGACTGAGTGACTGAACAACCACAATCCAAAACGTCGGTGCCAAGGAAAAAACTGGAAGATAAAGGATTAGAGGGGTGCAAAAGGTCAGCAGTAGAGATCCAGGCAAAGGCAGGCCTATATCGACGTCTGTGATGAAAGAGTTATGTCATTCTAAGTCTGTGGTTAGAATCTAGGGACAGAATATCCCTAAGATGAAATATGTATCTTGCCTCTTCTACTGTAATTAACCTGACTCTAAAAAATGTTTTTGAAAGTTGATTTAATGACATTGTTGTTAGAAACTCTGGTTTTTGAGCTAGGTCCTAAGGCATAGTGATTTTTTTTATTGTGGTAAAAGTCACATAATATAAAATATATTCTATTTAACCATATTTAACTGTACAGCTTAGTGGCATTAAGCACATTATTCACATTGTGGTTCAACTCTCACCATCACCCGTCTCCCGAATTTTTCACCTTTCTAAACTGAATCTCTGTCCCCATGGCCTCTCCCCTAAGCCATGGTAATTTTATTAAACCTTCGAGTTTAAAGCAGAAATTAAAAGAGTATCACTCTCTTCCCCCATCTCTATAGCAGTATCTTAATTATATGTTAATTCAACAAGCTTCCATGATCATGACTATTTCCAACCACCTCAATACACATATGCATGACCACAGGGGACAATTATGCTGAACTTTCCACCACCTCAAAACACACTGTATCTTTTTTCCTCCATCCAATGATACTTTTCTCGCTGCCCTTCAAGCCCTCACCAACAGGGTCCTCAAGCCCAGCACTGATTCAGAGTACTAACTGGACTCAAAACCAACACCTTATTTAAGGTAGCATTCTGATTCTAGAGAACAAATTATATTTCAGTGTCTAATGCTATACCATTTTTTTAAATCTCAAAAAACTTAGTGGCTTAAAAATTAAAAAAAAAAAAACAAAAACCTTAAATTGTCTGTATTCCTCAGCTGCCAAATACCTGGCAGCTCAGGTATTCAAAAAGAGCTTAGCCAGGCTGATGACCTCTGATTCACAAAGGATCCTGGCAGGAGAATCCTGGCAGAGGAGCCTAGCAGGCTACAGTCCATGGGGTTGCAAAGAGTCAGGAATGACTGAGCAACTATCACTCACACTCACAAAGGATCAGTTAGGATATGGGATCACACAGGGCTTCTAAAGTAAAGGATCTTCTCCCAGGATGGCTTCTAGTCCCTCATCTAGTGCCTTAATGATCCTGTTCAAGCTCTTTTTTTTTTTTTCCAAGATAAGACAATCTTTCATTCACACTGTACAACAGTCTTATATAATCAGGCAAGTTGTTCATCTTCATTCATTATGATGAATGCATGGCGCAATAGATCTCCTAATGATGAGCCCTGTGTAGTCAGTTTCCATGGTTATGTGCTGTGTTTAATCACTCAATCATGTCTGACTCTTTGTGATGCCATGACTGTAACCTGCCAGGCTCTTCTGTCCATGGGGATTCTCCAGGCAAGAATACTGGAGTGGGTTGCCCTGCCCTCCTCTAGGGGATCTTCCCAAACCACGGATTGAACCCAGGTCTCCTGCGTTGCAGGCAGATTCTTTACCATCTGAGCCACCAGGTATGGTATCTTCTTATTCTGCACATAACTATGGAGTGAAAGATGGGAAATTCTATCTCTGTTTTTTTCATCTGGCTCCTTGAGACAAAGAAAAACGTCTGTAGGTACCTAAGTGAGAGTCTTGTTTATCATACTCATCAACTGCATGACCCATGGAAAATATTCAAAACCCACTTTATTTTTTTAAATTTTTATTTTGTATTGAGATATAGCCGATTAGTGATGTTGTGACAATTTCAGGTGAACAGTGAAGGGACTCAGCCATACATATGTCTGTATCCATTCTACCCTATTGTCCAAGCTCTCTCTCCTGTTTTTCATCCTCCAGGACTTCTCTTGGCTTGACTTTGTCACAACAGGATTGATCTCAGGATAGACTTAGTCTAGTGCTGCCTTCCCCAACAGCAAGTTATCCAAGAGTGAGTATTCCAAGAGGCAAGTCTCTAAGAGACAGAAAATTTTAGAGACATCAGTCTCTAAAATACCTAGGCAATGATACTGGCAGCATCACATCCTCTGTATTTCCTTATCCAAAACATAAACTCACATTCACTCACCCTGAAAAGGAAGAGGACCCAAACATTTAATCTATCACACTTTGTGCTTCATGACTCATGCACTAATTATTTAACCCTCTCTGAATCTCAGTTTTCTCTTCTGTTAAGTGTAAACAAGATAAATCATAATTATACCATACTGCTAAAGCTATGAGAATTAAATGAAATAACAAAGGTACAGTGCCTATTATAATATACCTGGTATAGAATAATCAATAAATAGTATCTGTGATAAAAAGGATTATATTAGCAAGAAAAAACATTTCTATGTGTTTGTGTCATCATGGGAGCAGTTCACTTCACAGTATCCACTATTGACAATTTAGACAGTTATTTTCTGATATGTGTCCTCAGCAGACAAGGAAATTTCATTTCAAAGAGGAGAAATGTCTGTGGAACCATGGGTGGGCCACAAATCTCTTTGGGGATGTACGTGTATACTTTATACTCATTATCTGTTTCTTTTCCTTTAACATTATCATTGCTTGTAAAGTTTTAGCTGGAGTTTATTAAGGTATTATTCATAGAGATGTGATGAATAACTGGGCTTCCCTGGTGGCTCAGTTGGTAAAGAATCTGCCTGCAATGCGGGAGATCTGGGTTCAATCCTTGGGTTGGGAAGATCCCCTGGAGGAGGACATGGCAATCCACTCCAGTATTCTTGCCTGGAGAATCCCCATGGACAGAAGAGCCTAGCAGGCTACAGTCCATGGGGTCACAAAGACTCGGACACAATTGAGCAACTATGTACAGACGAATAAATACGCCCCAAATTCTTGACGAAAAGCAAATCAAGACACCAATTTCCAAAGGTATCAACAAATCTGCCAAATATCGTTAGAAATACAGGCGCATGCACACACACACACACACCTCCCACAAATTTGTTACTGTAACACATTAAGAAAGCACCCACAATGACCATTAAAAACATGTGTCTATGATGGCTCACTTCTGGGAGGAGGGTGGACACTTGACCCTGTGCTAAACTATATTATGCCCAAGCGTCTCAAATTCCTGTCTTTCCTCTTCATCTTGAGAACACGTTCTACAGCTCTGGACAAAGAACAACACTCTCTTAGGATCTTTGCTTGTACTGACATAAAAAGCTTTCTCTGTTCTTTCTAGCTACAATTATGGGACCAGATACTGTATAATGAAATTAATAATGAATGCATTGTAAGAAGAGGTGTGATCAAAATCACAAAAATCTTATCCAAGCAATTTGCTTACTATTTGTCCTTAATGGCATTGTAATAGTGTATCAGTCATTGCAATCATGGTGGTTCACTAGATCACACCACTGTGTCTACAGGGGTTATGTGGGCATCAAGATTCAGTATCTCACTGAATATAACTGAGTCTTGTCTCTTTCTCTCATTAGGATTATCTTTATCCTAAGGCAATGGACATGGGTTTGGGTAGACTCCATGAGTTGGTGATGGACAGGGAGGCCTGGCGTGCTGCGTTTCATGGGGTCGCAAAGAGTCGGACACGGCTGATTGACTGAACTGAACTGAAGGCTGGTTCTCCTGGCAATGGAATACCAGTAGTAAATGAAGCTATGTTCAGAGCCAGGAAAAGAAAGTGCATTTTTATTACAGCACTGGAAGTGAGAGTTCTCATATTTACCTTGAGTTGACCACACAGCACACAAATCAACCCCTAATAGCAACAATGATGGCTATATTTTAACGCGCACTTTCTATGTGTCAGGAACTATTCTAAACACTGAACTAATAAGATTTCATTTATTCTTCTCTATAAATATGCAAAAACATGCCTATAATTATTCCCATTTCATAAATAAAGAAAATGGAGCATCGGTTTATTAAAAATGCTAGGCCATATTTATACATTTAGGCTGTGAAGCAGCTCAGCCCTGATCCATGCTGCAGATTAACTCAAGATGACTTTTGTTTAACCCTGTGAAACCTTCCTGGCTGAGCCAATAATTTACATAAATACAGAAAGCACTGTTTGCCTTTAAGATAATCAACGGCCTCTTTCCAGAAAGCATGACCCACATGCAGGAGGAATGCGCAAATGAATGAAAATGTGGGTTTAGCAGGAGAACAAGACCACTACACATAGAAGCACTTTTAATTAGCAGGTTTTCCCAAACAATCTCTGGGACTTAGCTTTTTTTTTGGGGGGGGGGGGACTTAGCTTTTTAGCATCTGAAGGGCATCCATACAAAAGAGGAACGATTCAGGCCAATAGATAAGGCTTAAGGCAACTCTAGGCAGATTTCAGGAAGTTTCATTTTATAAACATAGAATGAAGTGCCAGTAAACATGTGCATCCAAAACTGACCACAGATGAAGCAATGTGGTGTTTGTTGCCTAGTTCAACAAAAATTATTTCCCTGGAGTGATGGCTGTAGCATCGGACTTGAGTGAGTTTAAAGGGAATTAAATATAAAGAGAGGAGCCAGGTTGAACAAAAAGTTCTTCTGAGTTTTACTGTAAAGGAGAGCAGAGAATAGAAGCAAAGGTTGAGTTGAAGCAAATTATTTTTTACTTGCTTTATTTTGTATAATGCGGGAGACATTTCAGCCTATTTACCTTCTGATTTATGTGGGTTAAGAAGAAGATGCATTCATAAAGTTGGTGGAGAACTTAATTTTAGTTTATGAAAAAAAGTAAGTACAAATAAATCATGGTCATCGGTAGCATGGGTGGAAAGGAAGGACATTTGGAAGTTATTGGCTCAAGTAGAAAATAACTCGGGTAAATACAAAGGATAGGACACGCCTCAGGGCCCCTGGAAAAGTTGTGAACTGGAATGAAAGGAGATGCCATCAAACCTAGCTGCATCTCTCTTCTTTAACCAAGTTGAGCATGTGGGGAAAATACATGGGATGAATGCAGTGTTTCTGTTTTTCCAGGGACAAAGGACCAAGCAGTCGTCAGTGACCACAAAGGGAGGCTATAAAGATGGCTGGCCTAAACTGGTTTTATATTAGGAGTGCCCATGACAGTGTGAAGGCCTGCGAAAAGTACCACTTCCGGTGGGCTCCATGCCCCCGGGTATTCATCCTGTTCTTGAGTATGAAGTGTGGCTGGGAAGCCTCATAAGCTTTGCATAGGGTACACTGTTACCTTTTTGTTTAATTGGTGTTTTACATAGTCCTCTCAAAGTTGTTTCAAATACCTCTCCCTTCAACTTTTTTAAGTTGAACACATAATATAAATATGCAGTGTGCTCTACTAGGTCTAAGAGCCCCATTTTGGTGAAAGAATACTGCCCAAATTAATAGGACACACAATTTATGGCACAGACTTGCTTTTTTGCACCACTGCAATTTCAACGCAATAAAGGAAAGCAATAATTTTGTGCTTCAGGCAAGACTTCATGTGTGTCTCAGTGAGTGTGTGGTATGTGTGCTTGCATGTGAGAGAGGGAGAGATTTTTTTCTTAATAAAAAACCTTCACATTAAGCCAGTCTCCCTTTTAATCACAGCAATTCAGTGAAACAGACCACAGTAATAAGCAGTTTGTTCCAGGTTTCTAAGATTCAATGCAGACTCCATCTTCAATAATTCACATTTCCCAGGTGTGCTGGACATTTATTGGAGCTTAATCATTTTCTCTCTTTTACGAAATTAATTTTCGAATACATTTTTAGTATAAATGAGACTGTGAAAAAGAAGTGGCCATTACTCCCTGTCAGAATAAAAGGGGAGTTTTAAAGACGCATGACTGCAAAGAAGTTAAGCCCAGGTATTTGCTACCACAGCTTATTTCAGTAACTATCTTAAGAGATAAATAACTATAGTTGAATATAAACAAATATTTTTAACATCTATTTTTTTCCAGTTTTTGTTCTAGACATTAGTGAATCCAAAGTGGGTAGAAAAATAGCACTGCTTTACAAAACAATAGTAATAAAGGAGCAAGTTATTTAACAATAACTATTAATACCCACCTTACTTTTATAATAATGATGATAAGGTTTTGGATTAGTATTACTATAATTATTATTGTCTTTCTTTTAGTGCACATTGTCAGATAAAAGGACCCTAGGGTTGAATTTTGAGGAACATCAATTGGAATGAAGTTATACCCATAAAAGCAAAAACAAATAAATATTACATAAATTCTCCCCTCCCACACACATGTAAGATCATGTTTTCTGTAACCTTGTGGA